GGAGCAGGACCAGGAGCAGGAGCAGGACCAGGAGCAGGGCCAGGAGCAGGACCAGGTGCAGGTGCTGGGGCAGGAGCCGTTGCAGGAGTAAGTCCTTTTTGAGCCATGGCTTTTTGATCTTGAAAGCTGGTTGCATAGTTGGTCATGAATCGAACACGTTCGTCAGGAGCAAGGCTGGGATCGGCCATGACTTGCTTGATCATTAAATCCGCATACTTGACGAATTCCAGCTTGGGTGACTGCTGCAAAGATTGTTGAACGGTGTGAAGCAAGTCGTTCATGCGAACGCTTCCATTGCGATCCACTCCTGCGATAGCTCCTCCTGCTTGAGACTTGGAGGCGGCTACATTTTCTTTAAGTTGTTTAAGTTCTTCTTGCAGGCGATTCCAAAGTATGGCCGGAACCACGTAAGAGTTGGTACCTGTGCTGTTGTTCATTTCGTAGTGGTGACGACCTGACGACCTTTAGGGTAAAGCGTAATGGGTCGGCCTTTTATGACGACGTCCAAAGAGTCGTTGTTGGCAGGAAGATGCCTAAGGCTGGCAGGAGCTATGCGATGAATAGTCTGAACTTTGTTGGAAGGCATGGCGGGATGAGGACGTGAAAATCGAATGTGAAACTGGTTGGTTACGGGGCCATAGTCTGGAATGCCTGGCGCCAAGGTCCCACGTACTGCCGCTTTGATCTTGGAAGTAGTGTGCTTTTTGGCGGGCGAACGTTTTCGTTTGCCTCCACCCAACTGAGTATGCTTGGCACGTGTTCCCCCTCCGCGTCGTCGTTGTCGTCGCTTACCTCCTCGCTGACGTCCTTTCTTAAAATTAACCATGATGCTTTATGCTTCAGATAGCAAGTCTTTCAATTCGTCGTTGCCGTCGTAATCGAAGTCCAGAAGCGAATCGGCGGCGGAGAGTTCCTTTTTATCTTCTTTTGGAGCTCCCGCCTTTTTGATTTTGGTGATGGCTACGTTAATGCCCTCGGCAAGTGCCCCCGCCGCAGCGTGCTTGGCCAGGCTTACGCCTGCCTTTTTGAGGCTGGGGGCGGCGATCTTGGCCAGAGCTTTGATGGCCGTTCACACCAATTCGGCCTTGGACCCTCCACGCTGCAAGCTAGATCGTCGTAGACTTTGAATGGAGGGATGCCGATCATTGACCACGGACCCAAACCAGCGTCGGGCGGCCTTGGGCATTTTCTTGCAACCCCCCAGTTTTTTGCACATGTCTTTAATGTATTTCCATTGGTCATCGCTGCCGCTACGTAGAAGGGGTACCACTTGCGTAGGGTGACATTGTGCCAAGGAGCGTATATAGGACTTTCCATCCATACTGTAAAGCATTCGTTGCGTCGACGTTATATCCTATCAACGTGTGGGTGCTCAAGATTTATACCTACGTTACGGTTTAGGTCAGCATACCGAACGCGAGACTTTTTTCAAGCCCCCGGTGTTGCGCCTAGAACACCCCATACGACGTCAAGGGCCGAACGGACCGCCAATCGTTTCTTGATGAATACGCCTGTCATGCCGCCCTTGTCTCCGTTGCCTCCATCACCTACGCGAGACTACGACGAAGACATGTTGCAATTGCTAGGATCTCCTTTTAATTTACCAGACGACATGATGAGCGTCATGTCCAGCGACACGCCCATGTCAACGGGAAGTAACTTGGCTCGTGTCATGGATCAACCATCACCACATCCATCACCTGATGCATCGCCAGGTCCATCGCCATCGTTTTCACCCGCAGTATCTCCCGCAGCATCACCCCCTTCAGAAGTGGCGAATTTGGCAGCTTGGACACCTAGCAGTGGGGAAAGACTTGTTTCTTTACCCGATGCCACATTGGATCAAATGAACAAGGAGGAACTGCAAGAGTACGCAGAGGCTTTGAAATCGTTGCCGAATAAGTATCCCCAAGTTAAGGAAACATTGACGCCCACCATTAAAAACGTAATGACTCGGGTGGATGGTCGATGGCGAGGAAATCGAAGCGAAAAAAAGATGAACTTGGCTGAAGTGGAGCAATACGTGAACGAATTGGAAGCCACGGATCAAAGCAAATTTGGGGCCACTTCGCAAATGCGTATTCGATATGCCTTGGAAAAGGCCTTAGCGCGAAGGGCTGCGCTTCGCAAGGAGGCAGAAGAAGAAAGGAGAAATAACGGTGGGGATTATGGAGGTTGGGACGATCCGGGTGGAAATGGGGGTGGTGATGGCAATGGTTCTGAAGGGAATGGTGACGACGACGACAACGACGATGACGACGACAATGACGGCAACGAGGGGCATGGGAAACGATTTAAGAATGCGGATCAAGATACCGTGTCTAGAGCCTTACGTAAAAAATTAGGCAAAGGGGATCATCAAACCATTGCCAATACCACCACCGTTACCACGGTACGTCGAGGCAAGCGACCCGTAGTGGAACGCGAGCATAACAGTCAAACCTACCCCGGCCCTGGGAGTGATAACGATGATAACGACGACAACAACGATGACGCTACCATCGAAGGCGGCGTATTGCGACGCAAGCGAAAATCCCGAGTGTCCAAATCCAAACCTCGTCGCAAGAAACGTAGTCAACAGGGAGGCATCGTAGCCGACATGGATGCGTATGGAGGGTATAACAAGAGTCCTCACGAGGTAGTGGATCAGTACATTCGATTTCTTCGTGACGCCAAGAGAAAAAAGCTATCATGAACGTGGAAGAAATTATACCGTTTAACTCACGGTGGCAGCATCCTTGCAACATCATCGTAGCAGGACCTTCAAAAAGTGGCAAGACGTACTTTATTCGCAAGATGATTCGTCACAGAAGTTGGAAATTTAATCCGCCCATAAAGCACGTGGTTTACTTGTACAGCAAATGGCAAGATGAGTACGACAACATGAAAAAAGAATTTGGAGATAAAGTTAAGTGGGTTAAGGACTGCCGGACGATCCCTATGCCTTGTTCAAGCAAACGCCAGGACTGCTTATTGCTCACGATCTGATGGGAGAAATGGAATCGGATCATCGTCAAATATCCAAATGGTTTACCAAGGGGACCCATCACATGGACGTAAGCTTGGTCGTGCTCATGCAAAACGTATTTCCCGTCCACATGCGAACCGCCTCCCTCAACGCCCACCGCATCGTGCTGTTTCGCAATCCTCGAGACAAGTCTCAGCTGCAAGCCTTGGCGCGTCAAGCTTTTCCGGGTCAAGCCAAGTGGTTGAACCGCGCTTTGGAGGAAGCCAATAAGCGACCGTTTCGCCCGCTCATCATGGACTTTGATCAATCCACGCCTGATTATACTCCCTTAGTTATGAAAAGAAAAAATAATAAAAAACTATGAAACAAACAAACACACCGTGTTTTTTCTTTTTAACACTTTTTTTAATCCACCACCATAGCAATACGTCCATCGTACAACTTGAGAAATATATCGTAAGCTTTTACAATGTCTCTTTCTTTAGTTCGTATGCCTTGTTAAGTTCCATGAGCCATGCGGTAGGTAATGTACTTGGTATAGCGTTCTTCACTAATGCGCTTGAAAACGCCATTTTCGGTAATAAGTCGTTGTTGATTCATTCCTTTTAGTCAAACAAAACGTTCAGAGTTGATTTAGCGTATTTGGAAGCAGAGCCTTTGATGCTTTTCTTGACGCTTCCTACTTTGCTTGCTTCTGCGTCTATCTTTCGTTTCAAGTCTACTCGTGCTTCTGTGGCTTCGTCCTTTAGAGCTTCTTTCAAATCTTTGCCTTCCAATACGTCCGAGGCCACGTTAGCCAATGCTTTGCCTCCTCGATCCACGGCATCTTTTACGGCGTTTAGTTTGGGAATGACGTACTGCATAGCTCCACGCCCCAACCGGCCAATACTCAGTCCTCCTCTAGCTTGTCGGGGGGTGTATACGGAAATGTCACCTCCTCCTTCTTGGCGAACGTAGATGGGAATGTTCATACTCCTTTTTCGAAATCCAATGATACAGTGGTAACTCCTGAATTGAGAAAGGGAAGCTCTTGTCCTGCTTCGTCTTGCACGGCAAAGGATACGGTCTGGTAACTACTCTTGGAAAGAGGGTAGTATTTAACGTGTTGGGGTTCGAACACGTATTCCTTGGGTTCGGCTGCAGCACCCATAGACACGGACGAAAGAGAAACCACGTCCATAAGGGGGATGTTCTGATTTCCTACGTGTTGACTGTTGACCAAACTGCAGGTTACGTAAGCATTCTTGGGAATGGCCTTGGTGGTGGTGACTACGTCAATGGTATAAGGACCGCTTCGTGAACCAATGACGTCCTTGTTTCCTCGAAGCTGGGTATATTGATACCCCTTGATACGGGCCACGCGATTGGATTCGGGCTCCGTGTTCGTTTCTTGATCGGATTCCACATGTCCCGAGGGTCTCTATCCTTCCTTGCACGTAATTCTTACGAATTCACCTTCCCCCATGACGGCCGAATCGACACTTTCGTACTCCAGTCTTGCACCGGATCCATTGTTAAAGTTTAGCAAATCGTAGAATCCCTTGGGTATGGTCAAGTACAATTCGCTTGGAGTGATGATACTAGTTGTTGGTCCTGATGGTCCGACAGGATTTTAAAAATAAAGTAAAAGTGGTTAAAAGTGCTAACTTCAAGACTGGTTTGAATCAGATACACGGGAGAATGATCATATTCAAAATCCTCAGCAAAAGGTAAAATAAAGGAATGCCACTTGGTAGTGCCATCGGCTTGAATCGTTCCAGGTATAGCAATGTTAGGATCGTTGGTCCAAAAGCCCAACCGTTGCATTACCTCGTTCTCAGTTGGAGCGTTAGGTCCCACCAGCACGTCGTGATGTGACGTAAAGTCTAGTTTCGTTTTGGTTTGACCGGCACCAATTATGATGCCGTTGGCAAGAAATAGTTTATGTAGGTTGTCCAAGCTTTGTATTCCGCTAACATCTATCGCAATAAACACGTCCTTGCCTGTGGAGTCATCCACCCACGTGGCCGTGTGGTTCATACCCATTCCTCCAATTCCAGATCCTCCATTCGCTCCTCCAACGCCACCAGCCCCTACTCCTTGCCCTGCAAACCAGCTGGCAAACACGGCATCCACTCCTTTCTTAAATTGAGCACACAAATCTTGAACGCTGTTAACATCGCTTAGGGTAAACGTGTGTTGAGCATTGGGTGGCAGCTTGCTCTTTAGGTATCCACCCGCATCCAGTCTAAAAGTCCACTTGGATGATTTAGAAGTACTTGCGACGGGAGGTAGCGTCACTTTGGTCATTCCTACTCTCCATTGATCATCCATTCTTTGTATGGCAGGCAATTGTCCCGTAAAGGAACCAGGTCTGTTTCTGGGAAATCGAGGCTTGGATTGATTAGACAAAAGTGTCAAGCTCATAAAGGAAGAATCGTAATCGTCGGCTTGCGGCTTGAAAATGAGACAAACGGTCGTGTCCTTAATGGGTCTGTCTTGCAGCCATCCTGATGGGCGACCCTTGGTGTCGGCCAATTTAAACCCTACGGCCTTCACGTAATTTCTGCTAACGCGTCGACGAAAAGGGTGCTTGGATTCTTGATATCGAATGGCTTGAGAGGCTGACGTCGTAATGCGCTCAATCAGCGGAAAGTAATCGTGGCCCACGATTTCGTAGCGAATAAGATCCGTGTAAAGTAGCAAGTCCCCCTTTGTGTCAGCGGTTTCAGGCGTCATGATGGCTTGTATTTCCACCGACCACACTCCGGGCAACTGCCATCCTATGGGCAATTGCACCACGAATTCAGCTGCCGTATTGTCGTGGGTGCGTGGATAGTCGGGGTCTTTCTTGCTGTCAAACCAGTACACAAATGCTTTACGTTCCAGTCTCATTATTTTTTCTTTTTCTTTTTGGGCGGTTGACCCAATTCTTCTACTTGTCGGGCGTCAATCCAGTTGGCGTACTTTTCAGGCCACCCTTGATACTTGACCAGTACTTGAGGACGACTTGTAGCGGGATCCGTTCTACGTTGAAGTACCTTCTCGATGCGATAACGCATGTGCTTTATTTCTTCTTCCTCGACTTTGAGCAGTTCTTCCTCGTAAAAGGTGCCTTTTAATTCGTCCTCTTCATCGTAGTCCATCAAGCGGTAATACGCGGGAGGGCCTGGGTCGCGAGCTCGAATCTTAAACCATTCTTCCGACCATTGTGGAAAATAGCCCTTGTCAAAGATAGTGGTTTGACGGCTAATTCGAACCACGTCGCCCACGTTAAACTTGTAAGGACCTTTTAGCTTTTGCCTCATGCCTCGCTCTTGACCGTACTCTCCATACAATCGTTTCCATACCTCGTTTTCGTTATCGCGATTAACCGAGGCAGGCGATTGCTTAATTGTTCCGTGTCGTTGATGATTGTACGAATCGGCCAAGGGACCAATCACATCCACCCATCGTCGAGTCCCATTTTCGTAAAAGTACTTCCACAACCTTCCTTTCAAAGTACGCTGTACGATGGCCGCCTTGGTGGTGGACTCTCCCGACATAAGCTTGGGAGGAATGGCGCAGCTGGCAAATAATTCTTTCACGTCCTTGTTGTAAAATTCAGTTCCCTTGTCTACGTAAACGGAATGAGGCAACGTATGTTTCTTGTCTGGGTCTTGAGCCATTTGATTAAAAATTTCACGAATACCACGGGCCGTTTCTTCTCCCGTCTTTTGCGTTAGCGGTCTTACCCAGCAGTATCGAGACAGCACGTCTACCACGAATAATATCCAACCCATGCCATCGCTGGCGGGCTTGTCCCAAGTCATGTCTGATAAATCCATCTGCCATTGCTCGTCCATGGAAAATACTACAAAGGGACGACGAGTATAATTACGCCGAGCAGGGCGATGAATTTGATGAGTCGTCTGAGCTTCCAGCCATTTTTTCTTCTTGGCTTTCGCTTGAGATCCCTTGGAGACGTCGCCGGGGTCGGATAAAAACGCGAATGTTCCCGCTAGGGCTTGTGGGTGTTGTGCCTCCACTTCGAAATACCGGCTGTACCACTTGGAAGCTTGCCTTTTGTTAGCCACGGAAACGATACTCTTTCCTTTCTTCCCTTTCTTCTTTCCACCTGCGAATCGACCTTTGCGCGTGGATGACGATGGACCCGCCGCAGCACGACGAGAGACAGCATCGGACGCGCGCTTGACGTCCGCAGGCAATGCGGTTGTTGCTGATGTTGCCATCAGGCTGATCTTCGTTGCTTCCCGACACGATGGCGGCGGCTTTCTTAGCCAACCAACGTCAAATTCGTCCCACAGCGATTTGAGTCATGGTGTTGAACATGTCTGCAAATAAATAACTTTTATACGCAAGGTTGCTGTCACTTTAATATCCATAAGGCAACGTTGTCAATCCTTGATCTACTCGTTGTCGCTTGGTATATACCAAGCGAACGTCCTTGTCCATGGATACCGTCCTTAGCACTTTGTGTGTGCCGTCCCTAATAATCTTACGCGGATAATTTACCGTAATTTTTTCATTCTCTTGCACCAGCAAGCGTTTCATGCTCTTCATGTGAACCAATTCTTTGGCACTAGGTGTTAAGCTAATGCCCTTGCATTTTACTTCACACTCGCCCTTCTTCGAACGGTACGCGTACGTTTTAGGTCCTAGGGACACGTATTTCACGATCCAATTGGCGTTGGAATCTCCGCATTCATCCGACCATTGACCTAGTTGGTCTCCTGTTTCCATTTCTTCATCTCCTTCCGGTTCCGTCTTGTAAATGATGGAATCCGTGTCGTGGTAAAGCACGTGTTCACCCAAAGCGCTCAGCTTGTCGTACAAACGCAGGCGAGCCCAGGCCGTTACAAAAGCTGGAATCACGACGTTGCCGTTGGGGTTGCACACCGTGGACTCACGGTGCACGTCGTAATTTACTTGAACCATGTCACCCGTTAACAACAGCACCGTCTTCACGTTGACAGTGTCGTCGTGTAGCAGTTCGAAGAAGCGGCATGGTTCCGTAATGTACTCCACCTTGCCACGAAAAGGATTCTGACCAAACTTACCCCACAAAGAATTCAAGTTTAACTTGGCCACCGAACGCAACCCCGAATTCTTAACGACATTATTGTACTCTAGAGTGATGCCTTGGCTGGTTCTGACGGACGCCATGAACTCTCGCTTTTTATCTTCGGTGTCGCAATCTGACGGCCATCCAGAAGCTTCCAACTTCATCTTTAGATTCTCGCGAATGTAAGATTGAAACAAGTCACTGCTGCGGTCGGGGTAATGGTACACTTCGTGTACTTGAGCAATCTCGTACCCCCTTAATTCGGGCGTAGTCCACACGCCATGCCTCAGACTTCGCTCTTCCATCGTGTGCGTGCACTCTTCCCCGTCTTCATCTTTGATGACTTGTGGTCTGAAATACGTGGAAGCACGGGAAAGAACAGACCTCGCGGGGGTCCACGTCACACTTGACCAATCCAAACCATTCCTCGCTTAGAACGCAATCCGCTATTTCATCGGGATCCAGGTCCAAGTAAATCATGGGGTGACCCACGGGGTACTCTTCCTCCCACATCACCGTGGGGTATAGTGATACCACGTTCACGTACCGTATGCGATGCACAGGGTCCGAGCACGACATCAAGGCCATGCCCTCGTCGTCCGACTCGTCTACCTGTACCTCGCGTACAACCCCACGGCATTGGTGCGTCCTCCCATTAAAGCTTCGCGAGACAGTATGGGGTCCAAGTTCTTGATCCACTCGGGAAAAACGTGATGTTCGCGTTCCACATCCCACACGTGGCTCCACATTTCCACCACGTGATGTCCTGCGTTGCGCAACTCCAACGTTCTCTCTCGCATTTTATCGTACAGATCGCCCATGGTTACTCCAAGGTGTGCGTGGACTTGTCCTCGCTTGAAACACACCTCGCAACCATGATAAAAACAACCGTGAAATTGGTACACGGTGTTGGTCTGGCGATCGTACCCATCGACTTTACTTCCTTGCAACGTAATCTCACCCAGCGTTCCACCCGCCCAACGCAGCTCGGGCAAGCCCAGCGAGTACAGCCACTCCAAGGCTTGAACAGATTGGATATAGCGTTGACGGTATCCCAAGGGGGGAACTACTCCCATAACTTCTGATTCCAAGAAGTTCTTCTTGAACACCGTCAAGCAGGTCGAGGCAATGGTCACACACTCTGCAAAGGGGTCCACATTAAACTTATCTACATAGAGTTTGCGAAACTTTAGACATCCGCGAGCCATAACCATCACGTCTTGAATGCAACATTTTTCTATCTCCTTTCTCATGATGAACGTTTTCCCCTCTTGCTCGCGCCACCACTCCATGAACTTTTCCTTTTCGTTATCGCCCATGTCTTCCACGCCGTAATACTCTGGATTGGGGTAAGGGCCTTCGTACTGCGCATTTTCCAGAGTGTTAAAGAAATGAGGAAAGTGCCCCTTGTCACCTCCCGACGTTCCAAAGGTGGCAGGGAACTTGCGTAAGGCCATGGGAATAAAGCACACCGAATCTTTAAACATAATGCCTTCCAACGTCATGGTTATCACCTTGCCTCCTTCATATACGCACTTGAGCTAATTCCTCGCTTCACGCACTCTTCCAAGATAGGGTACGAATCGTACCCTTTCAAGTTATGGGCCATGAACGTGTATACAAGGCGTGCACGTCACGCTTAGGCCCTATCAACAACCAATCCATAAAGGCCGCGGCGCTGTCAAACGTAAACATCCGTTGACGTCCGCATGTTCCCGTGCATCCTCGCGTGCGGTAATCTTCTACGTGCGAAGCACACTCGTGGCACACCAGCAACACCACTACTTTGTTAACTACGTGTCGTTCCTCTAAACATCGAGCTTCAAAGTCAAAGAAGGCTAAAAAGAATTTGCGCTTTTCTTTCTTCTTCTTGGCACGAGGGGTTTCTTCCGTAGAGTCACTTGACGTTCCCTTAATGTAACACAAGTGTTCACCCCGCGTCACCTTCTTCTCCCTACACACCAAGCAATCGTATTGGTAGCATACGTGATCATCTACCATGTGCCATAACTTAGCCTTTCGATCGTATCTCATCCGATCCACAGTGGCTTTGCACTGTGTGCACACGTACCGTCGTTCACAGGTGGTAAAGGCCAACGATCCCTTGCGGCGTCTCATCAGGTGTGATCGATAACACACGTTGGACCAAAACCCCACGTGACATTGACCACACGTAATACGTTGATTGGAATATCTTATGTAATGATCGTTTCGTTCTTTACCACTCCGCAAACAAGGACGTACACACTTGTGAACTTCCTTGTTACTGTACCCCTTCTTGCAGTGGGTGCAAAAGTAGGCACGTCCCAACCACCCAGTCATGGACTTAATCCACGCAAAGTGATTGTCCATCCAATTCAAATATATGGGGATTAACGTGCCATTGTGCTTCCCAACATCGTTTCCAAACGAGTCCACCACGTACCGGTTTCTCTCATCGTACACGCACAGTTCAAAGCCACTCTCTTCATCCATCGCATATCCTTCGTTAATGCTACTACACCACCGCTTGACGTCGTCCAACCCGCATGCTTGATCCCAAGTGTCTTCCATCCCCATCTCTTCATACCAATCCTGCAATGGTTTATCGTACCCTCCTTCGGGAACCACCTCATACCCTAGGTCCTTCAAAGCACGGTACAAAGCTCTTCCCAAGCAATTTTCGTGTTCGTTGTCAAATACTCGTGACACCTTACGCCGCTTGCCTTCTTCCGTGCTCTTGTAATACGGTCTCTTCTTGCCTAATTCGTATTTCGTTAAGGCCTTATCTTCACTGCAAGCATGCACGCGTTGGTGGCGGTACGTCATGCCACATTTCAAGCACATTCAATGATGTAAGTTTTCGGCTTCTCCGTACAGCACGTTGGGCGACAGAATATCCAGCATAGTATTGTCCCCTTCGTTCAGCCACATCACCCACCCCTCTGTGGTGCTAATGTATGCGCTTTTCCATACCACTTCGTGGTAAGCACCGGGTCCTCCTGTCACAACACCAAAATATTTGTGGAAGGATGCAACAAACACCAACGAGGCAATACTTCTTCCCAAGTCCAACGTTTAACTCTTCCCTCACCTCTTCCATCGTTCTCACGCTTCGCCAGGACAAAATCTGAATCACGTGATCCGTAATCTTAGACCCCACTGCAGCCGGCGGCTTGCGCAAGACCCCCCTTTCCAGTCGGTCTCGCATGAGCTCTGGGGTCATGATGGTGGTCGTAGAAACACATCCCCGTCCTTTGACATCTTTAATCACGGTTACCGTAATGTCCAAAGACCTGCCCAACATCCATTCCCTCTTGGACTGCTGAATCATCTCAATGGCATTGGTCAGCATTAGCCTTTGAAACTGAGGCGTGTGGTATGGACGTATAGCCAACGACACCGGGTATTCCAAGTCTCCACCATAAAGTGTCATTCCTACTTGATCCCGAGGCGTTAGCCCTTCCTCGTTGGCAATGCGATCCATTACCTGATCAAACAAGCGCTCCACCTATCGAACGCCCCATTCGTCTTCGGCTTCTTCATTACCATCGTACCCTTCCAAGTCGTCGTCCTCGTCCCCATCCTCATACGCTCCACGATGACGGTCGGCTTGTTCCAAGCTGGATCTCGTTTCGATTCGATACGAAATAACACGAGTTCTCATAGGTACATTTACACCAAACACCGAACGCGTACAACTCTTAATTAGAGACGAGCTCCTCGTGTTCCTGCCGGGTGACATGGTGTGAAAACACTAAACGACAGCCAGGACCGTACTCCTCTGTCACATACACGGTCGTGCGACCTCGTTTTCGATTCGCCAATGCCTGCCTTGCTTTTGCTTCAGCTTTTCGTTTCCGCTCCCTTGCTCAGCGTGATAACATAAAAGCCAATCTTCTCTTTCGTTCTTTTTGCTTTTCAATATTATTTGTTAACCACGTTAACGTCTCTGCTATTCCTCGTAACGTCTTTATGTACTCCCTTACGTCTCGCAAAAACTTGATATTGGGAAAAGTTCCTTCCCTATAATGCTTGGTCAACGTCTCCGTAAATGCCGCCTTTTTTTTCAAAGAAAAAAATAAAAGACAAAACACAAGTTAAGATTCAACGGTATAACCGTATTTATTCACATATTCGTTTACATATTGTTTAAGCAATAGTACATCAAATTTATCCAAGTCTTCAATGCCTCTTGTCTTTAACAACTCTACTACATTGAAAAAAGTCCTTCTAACTAAAATATATTGCGTGTTTGATAACATGTCTTGATTGCTATAATCATCTTCTCGCACTGCGTCCATGGCTTGATAAATGGTATTCTTTATCCTTTTACTCATCCTTTGCTTTCGGCCGCATCTCTTTGTCATTTTCATAGTGATTGGTACTGCAGTGTTTTAAAAGCAAACAATAAGACTAAACAATTCAAGCATAGAGCCTTGCGCGAACATCTAATCCTACTTACCACACTGGTATCTTCGTATACGACTGTGGCTTTACTGGTGATTCACTAGGTAAAATATATGAAAATCACAGATCCTGGTCCCCCTACATAGACCCTACCTAGGGTGGGGGGACCCCTATTCACCTATCCCCTACCCCTATATATCTAAGCTCATTTTCATCCCAAAATCACCAATTGTATACCTAGATACCTAGTACTTACTTAGCCAATACCAACCCTCACCACTACTACTTGCCTTCATCATGCCTTCCAAGAAGCCTAACCGTCGCGTGGTCGTCTTTAGCCCACCGTTAGAAAACGAATCTCAAGTTGACCAGGAATTGCCAACTCCTCCTAACACGCCACCACCAGTTCGTCATGACGTAGATGACGCCTACGATTCCGACGACCAAGTGGTGACCGCTGCCAGTCAGGCCATGATTGCTTCTACTTCTGGCACCAATGAACCAGGGCCTTCTGCATGCAAACGCAAACGGTCTGATGTTGAACAAGAAGAACGTGAAGTAGGTCAGGAAGATCCTGAAGTCATCACCGAAGACAGTCAAGACGAAACCCTGGTATGTACTATTTGTATCTTACCTTGCTCTTGCAATTCTTCAGACCCGTTCGTCATTACGCCTTGCTGTCGCCATCCCCTACATGGTGCCTGCGTCCTGCGCTACTTGGAAATGCAGCGTACCTTATTTTGCATACGATGTCCTCACTGCACCCGAAATTTATGCGTGGGGCCTGACTACATTACTCCAAACCAATTCCCTGACGGGGTGGCTGACATAGACGATTACACCATAAGCATTCATAGCTACGTCATGTTTCGCTTACCTCGCTCGTGCTACCAACAATATTACGACGGCAGCTACAGAAAACCTTACTAMACCTATTCTGCAACGTTTCACATGCTTTTACCAACCCCTAGGAAACGCTTCGTCGCGTCATCGACTTCATCTCTAACGGATACAAACAAAACAAAAAAGACATCCACGACATCCAACTTTTCTTCCAAAAGCAAGAACAACTAGTCATCAATTTCGAAAACACTTGGAAACTCAAAGGTGACCTTAAAGGCATCCACAAACTCGTTCAAAAACAACTTCAGTCCTGCAGCGTTCTTAAAAAAGGCTTACGTCCTCCTCTCACATGAACCTAAAAACAAAAAACACTTATTTTTGCATTTGGCAGGCCGCAATCGCAACCACAGCCAAAAACGTCTTACGCAAACACATTGGACAAACCCTAGTACTTACCCAATTACTTGACAATCTTCACGACTTCGTTTACCACAAAAAACTTTGGCTAGTACATGCCCGCCTCAACAGCGACAACCATCCCCTCCTCCATCAACTTCAATGCTATCAACAATGCCTCCAAGACAAACTTAGAGTATCCAGCATCGACATTAAGAGATTCATTGAACTCGTTGGTGGTGACTTCATAACAGGAATGTACTGGCTAGATACCCTTGCCTTTACCTTGTAACTCCACTTTATGTTTCTTCAGGCCGTCGTCTGTGCCATTTGCCTATCCAACATACCCAACAACTGTCCCAATACCGTCCTTACCCTTTGCTGCAAACACCAATTCCATTACGACTGCCTCGACCAATGGCGTACTCAYCAAAATACTCAATGTCCCATGTGCAGAGCCCGACCCATTAGCACTCAACCACCATTCCTCACCAGCCTCGAACTATTACCTCTCGATTCCGACGAGGACGAAGACTACCAAGCTAACGACACCCCGCCTGAAGATGACATTGACCACCGTGCCCATCCCTTTACCATCATACCCTCAACAACCATAGCTCCCGAAAATGCCCAAGATTACAGCCGCCGCCTTCCCAATGCCTATGGACCCATCGTTCTTAGCTCTACCTACACACGCATCCGCAATTTCCAGTTTACAGAAACTTCCTCCTTACCTATACTTTACCTGCTCATTGCTCACGAAGCACGTCATTATCCCCCCTCTGGTTTCATTCGCGTTCAAATATCCAGATTGGCAAACATCAGCCACTACTTATTCGCTTCGGCCGCATGGAGAGAGTACGAAGATATCAACAAC